CCTCTAGGTTTTCATATTTATTTGAGTATAATTTTTCATAATACTCTAATGTTAGCTTTTTTATTTTCGTTGGTTCTGTTGTGATGTTGCCTGACTCATCTCTTATTCGCATTATTTGTGTTTTTTCTTTCTTTTCCTTTTTGAGTTTTGCTAATGGTTTATCCATTTTGTTGACCTTTTCAAAGTACCAACTCCTAGTTTTGTTGATAGTTTCAATTGTTTTTCGGTTTTCTAGTTCATTTATTTCTGCTCTGATTTTTATAATTTCGGGTTTTTTAGAGGGTGTCGGGTTTTCTGGCTGCTCTTTTTCAATTTGCTGAAGATGAATAACCAATATTATTATTTGACTGTCCCTAAGACAGACACAGAAATGGCTTAATAATAACAACTTTTTTTTTAAATGAGACATTTTCAGAGCTCTGGTGGTCTCGTGGCAAGGAGCTGCACTGTCAATCTGAAGGCACCTGGTTTGAATCCACCAGTTGCTCTGTGGGAGAAAGATGGGCTATCTACTTTTCAGTGATTTACTGCCTCTCTCTGAGAACTATCTGCAAAGTCAGCTATGAGTCTATTCCTTCCCTAGGTCACACAGCATCAACAACAGTCAGGAAAAGCCTTCTTTTCCTGTGAAGTTCTAAGCTTCTTACAAACCCACAGTGACCTCTACGTCCTCGGGGCTCTGAGCTTCACAATTTCTTACTTTATTTTCCAATTAAGTGAGAAGATCCTTGATGGCAGAGACTATCGATTTATCACCGCAGCCATGATCATTATTGTGGTGACATGTGTACAGGCGTCGCTGAGGGCCCAGTTAAATACTAGAAGACAAGGTGAGAGACCACCACTCTCCTCTGAGGTGTCTGGGGAAAGGCTGGAGACCTGCTTCCAAAAGTCACAGCTGTGAACACCCCCTGCACCACTTAGTTCTGCTCTGTGTCTCCAAGGATTGGAATTTAAAAATGTAATTTTATTTAATTTGTTGTTTTTTTCCCCATGAATTGGAATTGACTCAATAGCAATTATGACAATGTATTTACATAATAAAATGGCCACTTCAACCTGTTTTATATGTGTCAGTGACATTAATTACATTTATCGTGTTTTACAACTATTGCCAATTGTTTTTTAATACTATGTCTTAGGGCAGCACATCTTAGTTTTAAAACTGACGTGTTAGCTTTTTAACACTTAATTTAAAGAGTTATTTTGCTCCAGATTTTTACAACTAAAATTTTAATTCCAAATATTTCGGTGCCCATTCAGTGACTTTTCCTCTTGCTCCAGGTAACTTCCAAAATAGCTTTGACTCAATAAATTCATCAAATTGTAGACATTTCTCTTAAGTGGGATCAAACTCAGGTGGTAGTTTGTGTCTGACTTTACTCAGCATGATGTTCATCTTTGCTGTAGTATAATTCAGGACTCCATTTCTTTTGAGGGCTGAAGAATTGAGGCCTGTGAACTGTGGTGGTGGAGAAAAGCACTGAATATCCCACGGACTGCCAGCAGAACAGTCAGATGTGTCTCAGAGAAGGTGCAGCCCGGATGCTTCTTGGAGGCAAAGATGATAAAGCTTTCTCTTCCATACCCTGGACATGTTGTTAAAAGAGGCGCTTCCTTGGAGAGGGACCTCATGCTTGGAAAGGCAGAGGGTTGGTGACAGAATGGGAGATTCTCAAGGAGACTGGCATAGTGACTGCCAACAATGGGCTCAAGTGTGCCAGAGATGATGAGGATGGCGCAGGGTGGGACAGGGTTCAGATCTGTTGTTCATAGGGTCACTATAGGGTATACTCAACTTGATGGGACCTAACAGAAATGATGGGACAACAGAAATGTCCCCTCCGAGGCTGTGTTTTAGTACTTTTCCACCTATTTGTCTTTATCAAATTCTATCCCAACTCTCACCATTTTATCTTTTGTTGTGCACAGAAGCTGTCTATTTCCTTTGAAACATTGGGGATACCAATGCTTTTGGATGTTTATCCACGTTTATAAAACATTTTCTTACCAAATGTGGGAAATAGTTAAGTCAGCATAACGTCAACTCATTCCTTTTAAGACAGAACCAACTTTTCATTGTCCCTCCATGGGGTTTCTGAGGCTGTGAATCATATAGGAGGTGTCAGACATCTTTTTGTTGGGAAGTGGATGGCGAATTCGAAAGGCCAGAGAGATGCGGCCTTTGAGTTAGCAGTGCAATTCCCTATAAATGGCTATTGTGTGAATCCTGGGGTCCGAATCATAGCTGACCCTCTAGCAGGCTTTTGTTGTTGTTGTTCTTATGTGCTATCGAGTTGCTTGCGACTCATAGTGACCCTATGTACAACAGCCCTAAACTCTGCTCTGTCCTGTGCCAATCGCACTGTCTCTGACACTCCCATCCCAATTATCCCAGTCACTGAATCAATCCATCTCATAGAGGGTCTTCCCCTCCTGTGGTGTCCCTCTACCCTCCCAAGCATGATGTCCTTCTCCAAGGACCGGCCTCTCCTCACAACATGTCCAAAGTATGTTAGACGGAGCCTCAGAATCCTTGCCTCCAAGGAGCCACCTGGTTTAACCCTTTCCAGGATGAGTCTGTTTGTTTTCCTAGCAGTCCATGGTACTCTCAATACTCTTCTCCAGCACCACAGCTCAAAGGCATCAATTCTCCTTCTATCTTCCTTGGTCATTGTCCAACTCTCTGATGCATAACAAGTGATTGCAAAGACCATGGCCTGTAGCACCTTAGTCTCCAGAGAGATACCGTTGCTCTTCAGTACTTTGGAGAGGTCCCTAACAGCAGACTTTGCCATGGCAATGCGCCTTTTAATTTCCTGGCTACTGGTGTCAAGAGTGTTGACTGTTGATCTGTGGAAAGAACCACAGCAGGCTTTTAGAGGCTGTAAATTGCATGGGAGGAGATTATCCGTCTTTCTCTCATGGATCAGCTGGTGGACTTGACGCATGCCTTCAGGTTGGCAGCTCAGCTCCTTACCTGGTAGAGCTGACACAGCTCCCTTAAGTCAGCACAAGTAATTTAGCAATAATACTCAAATGCAGTGTTGTATAGACAGAAATGACCCACAGCTGACCCACAGCAGGCTTTGGAGGCTGTACATTGCATAGGAGGCCCCTTCCTTTAGTTATTATTGTTGTGTACCATTGAGTCAGAACCAACTCATAGCTGGACCCTTCAGCTGGTTTTGAGAGGCAGATTTGAGGAGGGGATTGCCTATCCTTCTCCTGAAAAGAAGCTGGTGGATTCGAACTCCATGCCATTGGGATTGCAGTGCAGCTTCTTACCACTAGGCCACCAGAGCTCCTTTGAACCACAAGAGGAGTGTCACCTTTGGGTTAGCCGGGTGCCTTCAGCGGACTATGGCAAGAGAGGTTTACCAATAAACACCTGTTAGATCTCTGTGACTTGAGCTATCTCTCTCTCTTATCTCTCTCTCTCTTTCTATTTATATATTTATATTTAATTTATCTCTATCTCCATTTATTTATATTTATATTTACATTTATATTTTCCCTAATATTACATGGCCAACCTGGACGCTGTTAAGAAGAGCATAATTTAAATGGTCTCAGGGAACATGCTTGTTGCTTGCCCTCTTGTTTTACTCCTGGTCTTGCTGGGGCCATGATTGTTACTGAACGCAAGGGGTTCTTTCCGTAGTCAGTCACCAATAAGACAAACGGAATGCAATATCCATAAATGCAGTTTATTACGCAGATCTGGGAGACAGCGAGTCATCTCTAAGACTGCCTCCCCGTCTGGGAGTGGTCATGACCTTATATACTAGGGTGAAACTCCAGCTCTTTTAACAATGCACTTTTGAAAGGTAATTTCTACATCTGAAAAAGACAGTTTCCATCCATGTATCAGTAATTCAGGAAGGCCCTAGTTCTCTTCCTGGTAAACAGGTAGATTAAGATACAGTTTGCATATGACTGGAGAACCAGCCTCACCAGCATCGAGGATAGATGCATTTCCTCTTCTGGTAAACAGACAGATAAAACTACATGACTAAAGACAGGAAACAGAGAATTCAGAGGCCAAGCAACTAGTTTTGCAGGCTGAAGAAAAATAACTATAGTTTTATAACTGATACCTATACAGAGAATTCTGAACTTATTCATACCACCCTATCATGATGAGCTGATGATGGGCCACTGATGAGCAGTTGGCAGGACAGAATTCTCTCATAGCATCATGTGCTTTTCTTTTCAACAGCTCACTGTGACATGAGGTCCAGTTACTTCTCTGGCATAAGTCATAGAGAGCAATTCCCCATCGTTTTCTAGTGGAAAACTGGAGAAACAGTAAATAGATTTGTCTTGAATCCTAAGTCACTTCTTGAATCCTAAGTCACTTCCAGTACCTTGTCATTGAATGGCTTGCTCTTGGAACCCACTTCTTCCTGCCTGGTCTAGGCCACTCAGCCTGCTTGGGTGAGAAGATCCAAGTTCACATCCAAGGTGGTGGAAGGACCTGTAAAGAACCTAGTGTGGAAGACTGAATATTTACACACAGCACACGGAGCTTGTGTGACTTGGTTAAAGAGAAGTCAAATGAAGTCAGAAATTGTAAGTTAAAAGGTGCTCTGGGGATTGAATATTTATGACGCACGTTGTGACCACGAAGTGAATTTTAATCATTTATCATCCAACCTCACACTATCTCAGTAACACGCAAGTATTAGAGTTATGGCTGAGAACTCAAATTTGAACGACTTCCTGTAAAAAAGGGGATATCTTCATATACTTGGGTCCTGGTTTTAATGCTATTGTGAAGTAAGGTCATAAATTTGTCTTAATACCTTCCTGAGGCCTGGCCTAGCCTCATCCCTATCCTTTCCTGTGGCTCTTCTGAATGTGCTGGACCCACTCACAGGTAGCTTTCTCTCATTAACCACTGGGGCACACCCTTGTTTTCCTACAACATCTAATTAGGAGTGAGTGACTATCTTTGTTCTGAGGTGATAAGAGGACAAATTGAGATGTTTCTGACTTTGTATGTGCATGTCTGAGGGGACATATCTACTGAGTTTCACTTAGAATTTAATCTGAAATTTACTTTGGATTGAAGCTGTTTATAAAACCACGGCTCGACTGTGACCCTTTTTGTTTCTAAGAAGGCTTCAAAAAGCCACGGCTACAGTGCATTTTTCTTTGCCTATCCAAATGCCCTTGCTTCAAAATGATTTCTCTGTATAATCTGTCCTTTCTCTCCAATTTTTAAAATCCTTGCTTTTTATAGTCTGTAAGGAATTTTGCTGCCAATCCAAAGATGGTGCCTCTCTAACCCACAGACTGGTGGTTCAAATTCACAAGAGGCTCCACTGGAGAAAGATGGACAATCTCTTCCCATGTGACTTACAGCCCTCAAAAGCCCTGTGGATAGTCAGATATGAGTCGGTTTCAACTCAGTGGAAATGAACTGAGTTTGAGTTGCTCTACTTTATATTTAGACTTACTGGCCCTTAAATCTAGCAGAAATTTGGTCCAACCCTTTTATTTTATTGATGAGGAAATGATGCTTTCCAAAAAGTGAGAGTACTAAAGTCCAAGTGTTCTGAGTCTTTCTGAGTCTTTGTCTGTCTTTTTGCTGTAGTCTAAAATTGTATGATACATGATGCTCTCAAGTGGTTTTCCACTTCTACATGGAATGATTTTTATCTTAGATTCTTCTACGTCACTGAGCATGCTGAGTTAGCATGGAGCTCAGATATAAGGTAAGAATGGCCAGTTGGTAGTTACTGGAACACTATTTAGGCCCCAGTAATGGCTGTATTGTAATGGTTGCCTGAAGTACTGTTTTGAGGAGGAATCAGTGAGATAG